CAGTTAAAATTTAAATTACCATAACCTCATATTCTTGAATCATTATGTATATAGCAGTTGTATAATATGTAAGTAGTAAGGGCATTTTGCAATAATATTGCTTTCGATAGATTTTTTCAAATCGAAATACTACTCCAATCGCCATCCAACAAAACCAAACCCATGTTGCGATTAACCTCAATTAAACCGATGCATTTCTTATAATAATTTGTGTTAGTTACCGCCAACATATTCAACAGGCAGATTATACAAAATTCATTCGGAATTTGACGCCCTAAACTAAAAAGTCCTATACGCTTTCACACCACATTCAAATATTTTTCAAGTACCAATCTTAAACGAAACCACATACTTATAACATCTTTCCAAGAATAATTGAAAAAATACAAAATTAAAATGGAAAACACCGAAATTTTTTTTTTATCACTCTAACCTCAAAATTAAAGAATTATAACTTTATACACCAAACCACCGTGCCCGATTGTTACCCTATTATTAAATAAAAAAGTTTTGTAAAACTCTATAAAAATTTACTTTTCTTCTCGTTTTAAGAAAAATTGTTGAGAAAAATTAAAAACAAAAAGTGTCTTGTTTTTTCTTTCCTCTCTTTTTTTTTGTAAAAATTTAAGAATAGAAGAGAAAGTTATTAAAAATGGTTGTTCTCTTGGTGATTTTATAAAAGTTCTAGTAGATAGCTAGCTACTATCATTGTTGATGATAAAAACATAAAAATAAAAATTCACGAAGATTTTGAATTTTGAGGTCTCACTTCACTTTTTTGTCTTTAAATATAGAAAAATTTATTTCAAAATAAAATAAAGAATACCTGTACAGAGAAAACTTTATGAATTTTAAATTTCATCAACTGTAAAAATTTTATTAGGAACCTGAGCTTACTTTTGAATTGTTTAATTTTTATCTGTACTTTGCAGATGAAAACTCCTACTAAATAAAAATAAATGAAAACTGAAGGCAATTTAAAATTTACGAGTTTATTTATGTGCTGCATTGGTTTAATTAAATGATCTATAAGAATTTTGAAATTACAAGGGTAATCAATACCGAAAGTATCATATTTTGTCTTTGGGTGGGTTTATTTAAGCGTTTTTCTAAAATTGTGACTAATTATGGTATTCATCTATTCTCAAAATTTAATTGGACTCTGTATACAATCGAAGAATTTCCTAGAAAAATATTTTGATCATTCTTTAATTCCGCCAAATAATCATCTTCAACAATTTAATGTTCTTTGAACTGTGCAAGAAAAAAAGGACAAGTAATTTCATAAAGAAACGAATATATGCCCTTAATGAACGGACAATACTCTATGATACATTTATTTAATTAAAAATTACAGCCAGATTCTCTTAGAACTCTTAGCTTTTTTCCCGTCTTGCATAAATATCCCTTTTTAGCACATTATTAATATTCCAGTAAGAAAAATAAAACCTTGATTATTCACTATTTTTCAAGTATTTTATGAGTTTCTTGAATTACCTAAAACACTTGCAAAAACATTGTAGTACTAAAACAAAATTTAAACAAAGAATCTAAAGAGAGAGAAAAAAAAATAAGGAACAAAAGAGAAAGAAAATACGATTAAAACAAGAAAAAAATATTTAAAATTTATGATAACGGTATAAATTCACCTGACTATTTTCTTCATAAAAAGTAATTTTCTTTCTAAGTTTCCTTTATTTTTAGCCGCTCTCCCTAAACTCCTCTTATTATTCATTTTCTCTTTGTTTACCTTTTATTATTTGCTGTTGCTGTTATTTTAATTTATATTCTCTGGTATTCTATAAAAAACAAAAAACATAATATAATAATAACAAAATAAAATATAGAAGAGAAAGGAAAAAAGTGAGAGAGGGAAAGTGTACTATAAGAATACACTCTCACTCAAGTACTAGATGGCGAATTGCAATGCAATGACGATATTTTAAATAATAAAAGTTATACGTGACGTACTTTTCACCAACATGAATATAAAATATACCATCAAACTTAACAACAACTAAAATAATGGAATATCAACGGTAACACAATGTTGTGGCAAAAAAAAAAACAAAAAAAACAATAGAAAAAACTCAAAGATAGTGAATAAAAGTGAGAGAAAACAAAAGCCGGTTTGAAAAAAACAAAAAAAAATGGCTTTTTTTAGAAGTGTAAAAAAAAAGTAGAAGAAAAAAAAATATTTTTTTTTTCAAATTTTTTTGTTTTTGTCTGAAAACTTATAAACTATAACAACAATAATATCACAAATAAGTAAGGATGCTAAAATATTCTTAAGTTAAAATGAGAAAAAAAAGCAGTCCTTATTATAGGCGTATAAGTCTATAGAGATGTAGAATGAGTAAACAAAAATGTTTTTAGTATTCCGCGATGAAAGCGGAAGTGTGATAAAATGATAAAAAATGAATAATATTTTATTAAAAAAGACAAAAGCGTTACCACGAAACCTTATTAGTTTAAGAAAATTCTTTGGAAAATATTGTTGAAAAGACACGATTCGGTTGACAAGTTGTAAGCAAAAATGTTGTAAAATATCAAATAGACTAGCCTTTGGGAATTTATAAAGAACCTGAAGTCGAAATATCAAAGAGGGAATTAATGTGAGGCCCAGTAAATTAGAGATATATTAACATCTTTTGGCTGCAGATGACCTATTAATATTAACATATGTGTTACATCGGTTGAATTTTGTACAACAAAATATTTTTTGAACTGAAACTCGAATAAATGGCTTAATATTAAGGCTCAGCTTACACTCTAAACAGCAAATTATTAATTTAATTTAAAAATTAGATAATTGTGGAATTCTCAGTGAACGGGAAATTTGCTTTATATTGGTATTTAAGAGTAAAAGTCGAAAGCTCGACTCTTTTATCATGAAATTCTAAATTGAATTTAAAAATCATTTTACTACATTAATATGGATCTCAATGTTTCTCATATTCATTCTTCATATGACAGTGGTAAAAGTATATTAAACTAAAACGGCAATTCAAAATTTTCTCTTATAATTTTAGTAACCCCACAAAACGAAAAGACTATTTTGAAATATTGAGGATATGAATTCGACCATTTAACTCCCACCCATTTTTATTATCGCATTAGTTAATTAGCAGTCTTTACCTGTGTTCTCACTAATATTTTATTTTATATAGACATTTAAGAAACAAAATATTCGATTCAATAAATTTTACCAATGAGATAAAAATTCATAATTTACTCCTTCCATTTTTCTTTGCCGCCATCACATTTTTACAATCGTATTTCAAAAATTATAACATAAAAATTTAAAATTTACGGTTATTATGTATTCATTTTCCTTTTTTTTTTCATTTTTTTTTAAGATTTCTCTCTATTTTACATGAACAGAATGAGAATTGACGTAATATATATAAGAGTAAGATAGCCATAAACGGAGAATTGAAGAGAGGCGGGAGTGAAATAAAAAAAAAAATAAAAAGTTTTACATAAAAAAAAAATTGTGTAAACAAAAACTTCCGGTCTGTAAGGAGATCTGACTGAGATTTCTTATGTATTTTTTTTTTTACAAAAAAAAAAAGGCTGAAACGTGAAAATATTTTTAAATTTAAATTTTATTTTGTTGGAAAATTTTCGAATCCATGTGAATTTAAATGAATTCAAGTGAAATGAAAATTGTATAATAAAATGCTTTAAATGAATTTTTTTTTTCTTATTTTTTGTTGTAAAATCAAAATCACAGGAATTTTTCCTAATCGTGTAACTTTATGTGGATATGCAAAGTTATGCAATGAAGTATAAGTGTAATTCAACAAGTAAATGTACTTTGATAATGATTTAGAGAACGATTAGGGGTTTTAAGATTGAGTTCTAAATGTGTCGAATTTTTTTTTCGCAATGGGATTTAATTGATTCAGTGCATGAAAATGCAAGGCTAGGAATGAAATAAATGTCTCGTTATAATTGGGACTAGTTAACTTAAAATTGATTATGCGCTCTTTAAGAATTATTTACGAAAAGTTGACAGTCTTAAAAATTACTAATTTCCAATTAAATATGAAATGTTTTTTGGTTAATCATTATCCTGGCTGGTTGTTTGGTTGACGTGGTAGATGCAGCAGGTCCAGCACATCACAATTAGCACGAATGTGTCGTTTTGTTATCCCTACCTCGTGATCACCAGGCCATCATTTAACATACGATTACAGGACAATTTTATTTTGTTGGAAAATTTTCGAATCCATGTGAATTTAAATGAATTCAAGTGAAATGAAAATTGTATAATAAAATGCTTTAAATGAATTTTTTTTTTCTTATTTTTTGTTGTAAAATCAAAATCACAGGAATTTTTCCTAATCGTGTAACTTTATGTGGATATGCAAAGTTATGCAATGAAGTATAAGTGTAATTCAACAAGTAAATGTACTTTGATAATGATTTAGAGAACGATTAGGGGTTTTAAGATTGAGTTCTAAATGTGTCGAATTTTTTTTTCGCAATGGGATTTAATTGATTCAGTGCATGAAAATGCAAGGCTAGGAATGAAATAAATGTCTCGTTATAATTGGGACTAGTTAACTTAAAATTGATTATGCGCTCTTTAAGAATTATTTACGAAAAGTTGACAGTCTTAAAAATTACTAATTTCCAATTAAATATGAAATGTTTTTTGGTTAATCATTATCCTGGCTGGTTGTTTGGTTGACGTGGTAGATGCAGCAGGTCCAGCACATCACAATTAGCACGAATGTGTCGTTTTGTTATCCCTACCTCGTGATCACCAGGCCATCATTTAACATACGATTACAGGTGGCCTATCTCTGCCACCCGGTTCTGTTGAGAAATCTACTAAATCATTATCTTAGTATTAGTTCCAATAATATAAAATGAGAAAAACTCAAAATTCATAAAAATTTCCTCTATTTTCTATTTCTACTCTATATTTTACATAAAATCATGAAAAAATACGATTAAAAATGATTTTATTTCTCTTTTTATTATTTCAGAGTTCGTGGTAGTCGTGGCAGTTTAGAAAGTATTATAACGGCACCAGCATCAATTAATTTAACAACATCCTTAAATGCACAACAGCAACAACAACAACCAAATAATTTAAATTGTAATTTGAGCGGCAACTCCAGTAATATAAACTTAAAAAATAATACTAACGATAATTGTAGTAATAATACTGATAATAACAGTATAATTAAAATGGATATTAATGGTGTTACTGTTAATAATAGTGGAAATTATATTGGTAGCACTGCTGGTACTGATAATAATTGCCAACAACAACAACAATTACATGAAAATTCTATTAGTAATCGTTCTTCATCTCGTACAACACAAATAAATAGTAATCAACAAAATGGACGTGATAATTGGCATAAAATGCCAGAACCAAATCCAACAAATACAACAACAAATGTAATACAACAACAATTATTACATCAACAAGGATTAAATGCAACTGTTACATCAAGTCCAAATCCAAATCGTAAAGATAAATCATCACCAAATAGACGTGGTTTATCATCATCATCATCATCTTCATCTTCAAAACAATCATCATCGGGTAGAACAAAAGGTGTACCGCAAAGTTTTGGTTATGTTAAACGTACAAATGGTTCAGCAACGGGTACTATAACATCAACTGATCAACAAGGTATGTTATTATTGCAACAACAACAGCAACAACATCAACAACAACAACAGCAGCAGCAACATCATTCGAGTAGAACAGCACATGTATCTGCTGTACCAAGATCTGGTAAAATTAAAGTATCCGGTGGTACACAAACATGCCAAAATGATTTACAAACAAGTAGGTTATTTTAAAATTGTAAAACTCACTTAATTAAATTGATGAAACCATTGTTATTTTATTATTAGAAATACCACCAAATGTACAACATAGAAGTTTCTCATTAACTGGACCCGGTGCTACACAATTAAGTCAATCGATACGTGAACGTTTAAGTAATGGATCACATAGTTTACCGAAACCTGGTTCAGATATGCATATGTTTCAACATAGGTACGTATTTTTTGCATTTATATAATTGTATTTTATAAAATGACCTTTAAATGACCTCACTCTTTGGTTATATTTTAAACAAAAACAAGAATATTTTTCTAATATTTTCTCATTTTCTATATCTTATACTTTTAGGATTGCAAATAGAAATTCTAATAAAATTCTTGATGGTAGTTTATCAGATACACAAACATATGCTGAAGTTAAACCAGAATATAGTACATATGCAATGTGGTTAAAACATAGTAATACGACAGCAAGTCGTTTATCAGAAGGAGATTCAATTGAAAGTTTACAACATATTATGGGTTCACCTGGAATGCAAAGGCATAGTGCACATAAATTAATGCAACGTACTTTAACTAATACCAGTGGTAATAGTAGTAGTAATGGTGGCAGTGGTAGTAATGTTAACTGTAATAATACTCCAAATACTATTAATTCAAATACAATTTCAAGTAATGGCGGTACAACCATAGAGAGCACTTATGTTCAAAGCCCTAGAATGAATCGGAGTAATAGTATTAGGTGAGTTTTTTTTATTTTAGTTGAATAAATTTTTTGAATTTCGTTAAAATGGAATTTTCTTTAAATTTTTTTTTTTTTTTTAAAAATTCTGTGAAAAATCTTTTAAAAAATAAAAAAGTTTAAACTTTTCTTTTTACAATGTTTGCAAAAAAAAAAAAATAATATTTTTGTCTCTCTTTCTTTCTTTCTTTTTCGCTCTATATTTAATTAACTTCCGATGTTATTTTTTGTCTCTTTCGAATGAATTTGAAAATTTTTTTTGAAAAGTTATTTGAAAGAACGAACATATCCAAGGTAATTCTTTATTCTTTCAAAAATTTTCGAAAAGTTTGAAAAAAGTTTACAATTTTCCTCAATTTTTTATTTTCTTAAGCTTTATAGTTGCTTATTCGTTCACATGTTCAATGTTTCTTATATTTAATAGTGCTTTCCTTTTCATTTTAATGCTTAAAAATGCTTTAAGAAAATATTCTAAAATTTAATATTTTTCTAAAGAAACTGAAAATTATATTATTCTATAATTGGCCATTTTGTTTTCATTTTTATTTGCTTTAGCAGCCATTTTTATTTTCGTGATTTTCATATTATTTGTATAGAAAAAATTACCATGTATAAAGTAATTTTTTTGAATTATTTTAATTATAAAATAATTAAGTGATTAATTCAAATATTTCTAGTTTTCATGCAAAATTTCGTAGGGTGTTTCAAGAACTATCAAACAAGTCTTGTTTAATAGAAATTTATAATTAAAGAAAATATTTAAAATATTTGTATTTCTAGACGGAAATTGGGGCTCAATTTAATTAAATACGTACAATCTGTTGCAAAGTGCCGCCAATGAAGCATCTAAAACATTATACTAAAAGAATTGTTCATAGAAATTTATTTGCTATTTAAGCTATCAAAATTTCTAAATTTGAGTGACATATAATCGTATTATGTCATTAGTTTAGAATGTTGCCTTTCCTTAGTTTGTTTCTTAGACTGTTAATTAAAGTCGATAAAAGTATCGAACAAATCATTAAACTTTTGACCAAATATTTAACAAATTTCAATTAATAATCATGATTTTACAATTCCATGAGGAGTCATGAGTCGAAAAAGCTCAATAGATAAAAAGCTTAAAACGAGGTAATTTTCAAAACCTTTAAATGACATAGAGAAATTATTTGAGAAGATGTCATTTTCCTAGCAAATATGCCTAATAGTATTTTAATAGAATGTACATTGGCAACAAAACTTTACGAAAATATTAATTAAAGTATTTTTGGAACATCCTATACGAGAACACAAAATACATATTTATTTTCTCTTTAATCTTCTCCTGAAATCTATAAATTTTCAATTAAAGAAACTAATATTTAATATATTCTTTTCATTTCCCAAATATTTTTTTTACAAAAAAAAAAAATTTAGATCAACTAAATCGGAAAAAATGTATCCATCAATGTTAAGTCGTGGTTCAGATGTTGAAATTGAACCATATTATTGTTTACCGGTTGGTAGTATACATGGACAAAATGGTATGCCACCTGGTACTGGTCCTGGTGGTAGTGTTGTTGGTATTATACCATGGAGTCAACCGACATCACCAACACCTCCACATAATAGAAATGCTTTAATTACTAGTGCGGGTACATTATCACCAACACAAACACATAGTAGTACAGGATTACAATCAAATAGTAATGGAAGTAGTAGTATTGGTGGCCATAATAATCTATCATCATGTCATAGATTAACATATCCAAAAAAAAATGATGAGGGTAAGTGATTTTTTTTTTATTTTTTATAATCAGGAATCATTTTATCGAACTACAAAATTTTGACTCTTTGCAGTTCATGGTAGCTCTGCATCATTATTATCTGGTGGTAGTTCATTATATGGATCAGCAGAAGAAAGGCAAGCAAATGAAGTAAGACGTTTAAAACGTGAATTAACTGAAGCTAGGGAGCAAGTTATGAGCTTATCAAGTCAATTGTCAACAAATGTAAGTATTTTATTTTTATATTTTGTGAAAAATCTCTAAAAACATATTATGAATTTTTTAAAAATTCCAATCATAATCTTTTCATATTTCCGTAATGCGCCCTATTCGGGTCACCTTATTTATCGTAACTCTGTGACTCTAGTCGGCAGTGTTATATGTTACTATTTACCGTGTTAAATTAAATCTGATCTGATCTCCTTATCGACATACTTTTTCAGACACCCAAAGCTAATACATGTTTATCATTCATGTAATGGTTTTTTGGTTCAATTTTTAATAAAGACGACCTATTAAACCTTTCCTATTCTTTTCATTATAAATTTATCATTGTACAGGTCAGTTTCCAAAGTAGATTTTCTGGATATATCTACCTATATAAGAGTATTTTTCATTATTATAAAATCATCCATTCCATATATTCCTTACTCTCAACTAATATGCTCTTAACACAGCATTAAATTAAAAAAATATTAAATATTTTAAACAATTTCAAGTTGTTGAGTATTAAAGTTATCATACACTTGTTTTACAGAATAACATTACTCCCTCTCTATCTACTGTCATTTTATGAATGTTAGTCAAGGTTTTAACAAAATGTCTATAGAAAAAATATAGAATTGGGACACATTAAATCATTTTTTAACATAAACATTAAAACTAACATGTTATTCATATTCAATTTTTGTTGAAAAGTGAAAAATAAAAAAAAATAAAACCTCTAAACCTTATATTCAACCTACTCTATAATAATTTTTGCTTTCATTTTTTCATTTAAAAACTTGTATAGCATAATTACTTTTCATATTTTATTAAAAAATGAGAATACTTGGACAAGTGTCTATGTGTTTTCAGGACGACAGAACATGTATAGAAATTTTGAAAAAAAAACAAACAAGAAAATATGGAAAAGTAAATCAGAATCCTCATCATAAGAGCTTAAAATTGGATAAGAGTTTTAATATAAAAAATCGAAAGGAACAAAATAAAAAAAAAATACAATCTTTTATGCCTAAACAAAAAGACATCATCTTTCCTTTTTTAGTATTAAAAATTTTTTTTGTATAAAAATTTTAAGTTAGAACAAAAATTAAGTGCTATAAAAAAGGGAATTTTATTTATTCGGATGGAAATATGGAATTTTGTGTTTTCAAAAATTACAACAGCTATGTGGAGTTAGTGAGCAAAAATCTCTTCCAAAAATTGGTTCACTATTTCGGCTTGAAATTTCAAAGCTTTTTCATAATTAAAATTGAAATACAGTTCAATTCTGAAACGATTTGGAGAAAATTCGGTAAATATTTGGATTCGATTCTATAAAAATCGATACTATAAAAACATGGTTCGCGTCTATGATAAATTTTAGTAAATTTATACAGTTAAATTTTAACATGTTAACATTGTGATTTGTTTTACGATTTATGAATAAATTTATTCAAAAGAAAACTTCCTAACGACATTACTCCCTTATGGCGCATATAAATCATACTATGTTTTTTGGGGCGACGAAATAAATTGCAAAAGCGTACATCATTAAATGAGAAGTGTCACTTAAAAATAGCTTTGTTTGCAACTTTGTTCTAAAATTAATCAAAATTTTATCTTCGACACTAAGAACTTGATCCTGCTTTATAATATGAGCAGGTATTTCAAAATGTTTTTTAATAGCAAAGCCATAAACCATATGAGAATTTTGTATTTTCAAACAAACCATAAAATCGTAATTAAAGCCTCATAGGCGCCATAATATAGAGCAACAGAGTCAAAATATTTAAAATGAAATCAAATTCTTTTATTACTTTTAATTTTTTCTTTTTTTTTTCTAAAATAAACTTATATAAACTACTATTATGTATTCATTTTTGTAATGAAAACAAAAAATACCATAAAAAGAAAAGAAACCCTTGTGGCATTTAAATAATTAAAGTCCTGGGAAAATGGGTATAGTAAGAGAGCACAAAAAAATAAATAGAGAAAAAAAAAGGATGTCGAGTAGATTTTATTTTAATAATTCTTATCCTTTATTATATTTTTGTTATTGTTTTTTTGTTTTAAGCAACATTATGATAAAATTTAAAAAAAATATTTAAAAAAATTCGCCTATATAAAGTTCTTCATTAAATAATTTGTTAAATGAATCATTCATAGACTTTGATGATTTTTAATTAGTGTAAACTTATATAAGAATAATAAACAGAACAATAAACTGTATATATATATATATATACACATACATATACAAAAATTATAAAAAAAAGAAATTCTAAAAGCAGGACATTCAAGTTTATTGCCCTTTTTTTTCGTACATTATTTAAGTACAGCCTTTAAAACTAGATTAAAATCATTAATTATATTATCCTTTTTATTATGTCCTTTTTACATTCAATGTTTTTGTTTTTTTATTGTATTTGAAAATTTTTATTTTTATTATAGTGTAGGTGTATATAAAGCGAAAAATTTAAGTTGCTAATAATATTTTCTACTTTAGTTTGCTTTTTCTATTTTCTAATTACTTTATAGGATTCACCAGACCGTGCATCAGAAAATTGGCATGAAAATGTTGACAAAAGAAAGAAAAAAGTGAAAGAAAGTGAATAAATAATATTGTAAAAACATTTCCAAATTTCAAATTTTAAAAAATATTTTTGTGGCAAAGAAAGTAGTGCAAATATTCTTCAGAAAATTATTCTTGCATCTCATAATATGCAGAATTAGGATATGGGGAAGTGTTACCTAAAAATTTATTCTTTATAAGAATTTCTTTGCTTTACATTCTATACATAGGTTTGGTTTTAATAAAACTTTATTTTAAATTAAAGGAAAATTTTTATGTTTTTATAAAATCAAAAATTTTCGTATAAAAAAAAATTAGGGATCGTATTCCCTTTCCTATAGTTAAATTCGATTTTGCGACTTTTAATAATTGCCCAATAAAGAACTTCCAAATCGACGAGCGTATTCCGGGTTCCAACACCAGTTCTGGAAAGATAATTAACAAATTGCTCTGACAACAGCACCTAATGCTATAAACATTAAGTGAAAGAAAATTATTTAAATTTTAATTCGCTTTATTCTGCAAATGAAATGTTTAAATTTGCGTTCAAAATACTGCCAGAGCGAAACGAAATTTACTTATTGCACTTATTTCTACTTGCAAAATCGATATCAAAATTAAGAATAAGAAAAATCAATTAGGTCCCGTTGCATTTTATTATAAATAATCAATAACCTCACGCGAAAATATGTATAGTGCTGTAAGTAACAAGTAAAATAACTCGTAGTTTCATTCTTAAAACTTTTCTAAGGTAAACCAGCAAAAATTTTCAATTTCACACAGTTTTTTATGTACAAAAAAAATTTCATTTTATTCAAAATTTAATTTATTCCCCTAAATATATGCAATAATATTATAACAGAGATAATGAAGATTCAGTCATCCTAAATTTATGCAAGCATTTTAGATGTTATTAAAATTTCATTAATTTACACTACAGTTAGGCGTAATAAAATGTTCATTGGTTAACATTTTCTTTTCAAATACATTTTGGCACAACAACCTACTCATTATTTGCTTCCTTAATATTAATTTTACTTTAATTTTAAAATAAAGTCATCTATCAATATATAAAACTCAGGATAACAAGCCCGGTAGTTCTCTACTTGTTTTAATAAAAAAATTTGCGAAAATTTTCAATTTCCTCTTTGTTTTTCATAAATAAGACGAGAAAAATGGGGATACAAAAGATAAGAAAATAAGAGGATTACCTTCCATACACATAGGAACAGAAAACTTTATTGATTCAAAGTCTTTTTGTATTTCAAATTGAAAAGGACATTTCTGATACTTAACATTTAAACTGAAGAAAAAAAAATGTATTTAAAGTTTGGAATTGATTTTCAATTTAATTTGTTTGAAAAGTCAAATTGTGATTGATTGTAATCAAAAAATTCATTATTCCACTTTTCACTAGGCATGTGTTAATTTTCTTTTAATAAAAAAAAAGTAATTAATTAAAATGGAAAAATAAAATCAAGTAGAATTGCGATTTTAAACTTTGTAAAAGTAAATTTGTAAATGAAAGTTACTTTTACCCATTAATTGATTATTTTTACATTATTGTTATTATTTATTGAATATTTTAATTTTATTGAATATTTTTAATTATTTATTTTAAAGCGAGAAGAAATTATTGAATTCTTTTTGCCCAATTTAATAAATATTGTCGCTTGAATAAATCTGTATTGAATATTACCAAATTTCTGCAATTACTAGTTATTCAACCTTAAAGATTTAAAAATTTTATTGTACGAAAACTCTGCAACAGGATTTAATTTAAGCTCTGAGAATGAACAGCAAGTAATTTTAAGCAATTTCATTGAGAACTTGTAGGGCTACTTTATTAAATTTTTATAAATATTAAATTATTTTCAAATATAATTGCCATATACAAAATCTAGCACACTGATTTCAATAAATGATTATATATGTAAGTCAAATGCTGAATACAATACACATCAGTAGATAATATACTGCTTACTTAATTTGATTTAAAATTGGCGAATCTCGAGAATGGGCGAACAAAGAACATTCAAAATTAATTTAAAATTATTCTTAAACTTTAAATACAAAGAATTTCAAATAAGTATATATACAATATTAAATATATTATGTAGACATATACATATAAGATAAATACATAACCTAAGACAAGATGCCTCACATAAACAAATTAACAAATTAACTACTCGGTGTTTCATTGTAATGTTTAACAATTTTTTTAACTTGAGCACTCTAGTTCATGCGAAATAATTACGAAATTAGTTTAGCAGTCCCTATGGTATTACTACTTCATGTTCAAGATTAAAATGAATTCATTAAATGTTCCAGAAATTCTTGAAATAATCCCAATTATTGGAAATTATCTAACAACCGAAAACATTTATAAATAAATTCAAGAATTTTTTTATTATTTAGCAAAAATAATTAAAACTTTTAATTTACTCAAAAATTCTTCCGATCACCTACTATTCTGCCACAACTATATATTCAATAGTGTTCTTCATATAATTCAACAACCCTATGAAGTCATACATATTTGATATAATA